TTTAATTGCAACTTTAAACCAAATCTTCTTAAAAACCTTGAGATACACAGAGAGTTTATTAAACCAAATGTCACATGTGTTAACACTCAAATCCATCTCAATAGTAAAGTTCCTCCTCTCTTTAAGAGTATTGGCAACAGCTAATCTGAAGTTGCCTAGTCAGCTTCGCCTTTAATCTTCTTTGCAGCGGAGTTGATCATGTCTTTTCCAACTATTGCTGATTTCGTGGCCAGGACGTTTTTTTCTTCTTTTTTAGCTGGAAAAGCTGATCTGCCTGCGACTTCGGTTTCGCTGGCTGGCATGCTCAATTCTGTTGTTTTCAGCTTGGCACCTTTTAAATTTTTAATTTTTTCTACCTTCATTTACTGTATAACCAATAATTCTATTTAATTCATTATAATCATTTGTTATTTAATAATTTAAAAGTCCCGCCATAACTTGACTTGCTTGCTCAGTGGTACCAACCCACTATTATCATTTTTAATATCAACCTTTTCACAATTTTTCACGAAACTCATTTCAATTTCTTTATGGCATTTTCCTTGACAACTTCATTGTCAAATGTTAATTGTCACTCATGCTTTTGGCACATTGCTAAGATGGTCGCTGGTTTAAAAAACCCTGTTCGTATTTTTTGTACTCCAACTTGCCTTCGCCTCACGATATTAATTGGCTAACCCTTGCTACCTTCAAGTGGAAAGATTACTAGTTCCTCGTTCTCCGTATCAGCATGGCTTAGTTCTACATGGTCGGATAAACCTCCACTTTCTTTGTTAAAAACTAACCAGCTGTATTTACATTTTACACTGGGTCAGTTACCGAATTTCGTTTTGGTTTTTGAATTATTTAAGCTGCAAGCTATGGTGGAGACTTGAGACTGGTCAATTACTGTCCCTTATTAATTTAGTTTAGTTTCTTCATCTTCCTTCTAAAGTTTTTTGACGAGTAAGTGAACAAAGTTTTTTATTCTATTTTTTTAGTAATGATATAGTTTATTGTATTGTAACAGCTCCGTTTTTCTCTTACTAAGTCTTTGATGATGGCTTAAGAGGCTAAAAGCGCTCTGACGAATTATTTTATGGAGTTTTACTCAATATTTACATACTTTGAATACCCTCTCGCTTCATTTCTTATTACCGAGTGTGTACACATCACTCAACCTCTTCAAGATTTTGTTGTTTAATTCTAATGAATCTTTCTGATATACACGACTCTAGTAGCTGCATATTGTTTGGGTATATGTTTGTTAAATTTTTACTCAAGACCTTTATGTCGTTAGACTTTTTTGAAAGCCTGTGCTACATCAAGGAAGACAAAAGAACATACTTTCTTTTCTTTTACTGATTTCAGTTAGTAATCCTGTGCATCTGGTCTATGGTAAAGTGATTTTTCCTGAAGCCAAATTGATGAGTTGGGATTAAAGTACTTACTTCCATTATAGCTTTTAGTCTTTTCAAATAATTAGAATATCACCGGCAGTAGTGATAATGGCCTATATGATGTAACTCCATTGGTAAATGGTTTTCCTGGTTTGGGGATCATTATGAACTCTG